CCCTCCACCAACAAAAAGATTACAACTCACATTATTGTGATACTTGCTTTTATTACAGTGGTCTGGAACTGAGTTCACAGTATCTCTGAGGTGTGCCTGTACATATCTGCAGGCGCATATGTACACTAACTTCTCTGGGTTATTAACTAAAAGTAGAACTGCGGGGCCAGAGAGTCTTCTTTCTCTTCAACTTTACTAGATAAATCTCTGCTGTTTTTCTAAAGAGTATGAGAATCCCCATTGTTTCACATCCTTCCAACACTTGGTATAGTCACACATTTTCAGTTTTGACAATCTGGGTGTCAAATAAGTCTGAACATCTTTTCCTCTGTATGTAGTCCATTTTGAAATCTTTTATAACATGCTTGTTCAAGGGTTTTGCCCAATTTTCTAATGGGTTTTCTTATTGACTTGTGATGTTCTTTATATATATTGGGTATAAATTCTTGGCAGCTATGTAAGTTGCACATATATTCTCCCACTCAATGGCTAGTCTTTTCTTCTCCTTATGATGACCTACATTAATTTTAATGTCAAATTTATTGTAGTCAGATTCACCAACATTTGCTTTGCCATTAGTGATTTCTGTGCCTTTTTTTTCTTCTTAAAGAAATGCCTTCTAGTTTAGGTATCCTGAAAGCCATGGTCCCAGCTATGTGACTTGGGGCCAATCACTTAACCTCAAGGTGTCATCTTTCTTCTCTGTAAGATGGTCTCATATGTCCTTACAGCTTGACAATAACATTATTTAAAAAAAAAAAGAAAGAAAAAAAATGCTTTTTCTATGCCAGGGTCATGGAGATGTTGTACTAGATTATATTCTAAAAGCTTTACAGTTTGCCACTTAAGTCATTAATTCACCTAAAATGTTGTGTGTGATGTGAAGTAAGGGTCAAAATTCATTTTCCCTCCTATGGACACCCAGTAGTCCCAGCATCATCTATTGAAAAGTTTGTCCTTTTCCACTATTCTGCTAGGTTATTTGTATCATATATCAAGTTTCCTTATATGTATGTGTCTGTTTCTCTACAAGTATTTTGTTCTACTCTATTCTGCTCTCTATTCTGTTCTACTGGTCGATTTTTCTACCACTGGGCCAGTATCACAGTCATTTAATTATTATAGCTTTATTATACATTTGATATAACAGGAAGATCAAGTTCTATCAGCTTAATTTTCCTCTTCTAGGGCTAATAGCCCTTTGCAGTTTGATATAAATTGTAGAATTAGGTTACCAAATTTTACCACAAAACAAAACAAGCTAAAGAAAATACAACAATAAATAAAATTTAAAATGACAAAACATTAAAATTTTGATTGAGATTGCGCTGAATCTATAAATAAATTGAGGAGCGCTCGACATCTTTGAAATACTGCATTCTGATTCATGAACATAATATTTCTCTCCTTTTATTTTGGTCTTCTTTAAAGTCTCAATAAAGGTTTATAATTCTCTACAGAAGCCTTGGCTTATTATTTGTTATTTATTTATAGATACTACATATTTGACTATTATTTTAAATAGTGTTTTTTATACCATTTTGTTGTTGCTGGAATAGAGAAATATAACTAATTTATATATATATATATATATATATATATATATATATATATGTATATACATATATATATATGAATTTTTACATATCATTGTACCAACTTTTCAGTTTATCTGGGACTCTCCCCGTTTTAGTACAAAATGTCCTACATCCTTGGAAAACATGCACTCCCAGGAAAACAGGAATGGTTGGTCACACTGATAGGACCCCAAAGCAACCCTGGTACCTAAATAAAGTTCTTTTAGATCCAAGTTCTCTACATCATAGTGTCCCGATAATGAAAAAGAATTTTTCTTCTTAAATGGAGTGTGTGTGTTTAATCAAAAAGGGTGTTTATAACATTCTGTTACTATAACACATAGCTATTACATTCTACTTATACCCTAAATAACTAGCAAGACAAACCCTCTTATGGATGAACTTATTACTTCATGATCAAATCAGATGTAGACTGGATATATACATGTCTTGACTTAAATCATACAATACGTAAGTTTGTTAGTTAACTCAGCTGTTTTCATTAATACCTCCCTTTATTAAGCATTTTAATGTTCAAAGTATTGTTTATAGACAATGTTTTTCTACACTAATATATTCTATCATTTCTATTTTGCAAATGTTTTCACATTCATTATTTTATTACATATATTTACCCTCACAACAACCCAATTCCTACTGACAGATACAGAAAAACATCAGATCATTCAGTAAAGAGCAGAAACATTACAAAAATTGGAGTATTTTGATTCCTAGCCTAGAATTTATTTAATTTTCAGCTGTACACGCGTTAACTTTCTATTGCTGTGTAACAAATTACCATAAACCTTGTGGCTTAAAATAACCTAAGTGTGTTATATCACAGCTTCCATGAGTCAGGGGTTTAGTTTAGCTGGGTCCTCTGCTCAGGGTGTCATAGGCTGAAATCTAAATGTCAGCTGGGCTGCATTATCACCTGGAGCTTGAGTTCGTCTTCCAAGCTCATTCAGGTTGTTGGCAGAATTGAGCTCCTTGCAGCTGTACGTGTGAGGCTGCCCTTCTCCAAATGCAAGTGGCTAGGCAGTTTGCAAAATGACATTTGTTTCTTCAAGGCCATTAGGATAGTGTTTCTCTTCAGGAAGGGCCCAAACCCCATTTTAAGTGCTCCTATCTGATTAAGTCAGTCCTTTGGAAAAACTCACTCTTTGTCCTCTGTGTCTCTCCTTTACTTTTATACTACTATCACACTTCTCTGACATCAGCTGGGTGTCCTATACTTTAACTCAGTTCTGACTGTCTACTAGGAGATAGAATCAGATCCCACAGGCTAAGTGCTCGATCTCACAAGAATGCCCCTGCCCTTTCTTGGGATCCCAGTGCCAAGTCCAGGTTGTCACCTGAGCTTCTGACCTGACCAACTGGCTATAAATCAGAGGTTCCCACAACCTCCTTCTCGGGTTCCATTAATTTTTTAGAGTGACTCACAGAACTCAGAGAAACAGTTTACTTACTAGATTACCAGTTTATTACAAAAGAATGTAACTCAGGAACACCTGGGTGAAAGATGCTAGGAAGGGTGCAGAGTTTCCATGCCTTCTCCAGAGTGTCACTCTCCCAGCACCTCTCTATGTTCACCAAACTGGAAGCTCTCCGAACCCTGTATTGTTTGTNTTTTTTTGTTGTTGTTTTGTGTGTGTGTGTGTGTTTTTCTGTATTAAGCACTTTATTTATTTATTGTTATTTTTTTATTAGTTTCAGATGTACAAGGCAACATAATAGACATTTACACCCCTCACAAAGTGATAACTCCCCTCCCCCAAGCTACTACCCCTCTGACATCTTATATAACTGTTATAATACCATTGACTATCTTCCTTATGCTACATTCCACCTCCTGTGACTATACATATTTTTTTTTCTTATAGTTGACATACAATATTATTCTACTTCAGCTTCAGTTGTACAGCACATTGGTCAAACATCTACACAGTCTATGAAGTGATCCCCTTGATAAGCCCAGCACCCATCTGGCACCTTACATAATATTTACAACATTGTTGATTATATTCCCCATTCTGTATTTCATATGAGATACAGAGAAGGTGTGTTTTAAAGTGTACCATAAATCATCCTCCATCATGACAACACTCCATCTCACACATTGCTTCTGGTATATGGCAATTTCTGTCAAATAAAAACATTACGGTGTGTCCTCATCCACCTTACATATTATATTCACTGGATCTGGCATCATGCAACTTCTGGTTCTTCCTCGAAGTAAAAAATGACCATGAAAGACAAAAGTTTTTAATCAATTCGGGACATTGAGGCAGCCACTACAGCATAACTAAATCTACTCACGAAAGAGGACTTCCAGAACTGCTTCAGAAAGTGGCAAAAATGATGGGATAAGTGTGTTTGAAGGTGGGGGGAGTATTTTGAGGCGTTTAATGGCAATGTGTCTTTTACTGTAATATTTTTTTTAATTTAAACATTCACCGTATTGTTTGATCACACCTCATATATTCAGAAAACTCTTTTTAATGTTATTGCATATCTAGATAGATTTTTTCCATCACCCCAACCTTTTTTTATTGAAAACTATAATTTCAGTAGCTGAGTGAAAAGTTGATAAGCAAAACTACGTAAATAAAGGAAGACTTTTGAAACATCCTCTGAATATATTTTCTGACTAGCACTAATAAACATGGTGACAGCTATATTGTATTTTTTTTTACAACATCAGGTTAAAAATAATGCAGCAAAAAGTATTATACTAAGAAAATCACATAGCAGATTATGCCTGTTTTTTTTTTTTAAATTTTAAGGTGGCATTTAGCTGAGCTTCAGAAAAAGATTTTTCCCGTGTGTCGACATAACCTGTAGAGTATAAAGTCTCACAAGTATATGTGTGCCTGAATGGTGAAATGCTCTTTGGAAATATATGGAAATTCTCAATAAGCAAATTGAGGCAGAAATTGATATATATATTCCATTTTCCTCAAGGAGCAAATAGAAATAAACTGACATAAAAAAACAAAAATATGTAAGTTAGTGAAAATATTTCTTCTTAGGGGAAACAAAATCAATTTGCAGGATATTGCACCATTTCGCTGTTAGTATTGCAAAACTTATTCCTCTCTGGGACTGGAGGGCAGGTTCTTTTTATCTTTGGAATAATACTTGCAGTACCCTTTTTGCTGTGTATCAATTTTTTTCTCATGCACCAAGTCAGATGCCAAGTTACTGGTCAGTGATATGTTTTAGTTTTATACTGCAAGACCTAGTGCCTTCATAACTGGCACCAGTGAAACAAGTTTAATGTACATAGAATCATAGAGGAATTTCTGTCTACTCACGAGCTATTCATATTGCAACAGCGGCTCCATCTCCACCCTATGATATCACTTGTCTTGAAAGTTGTCGTGATTCAATGGTTCTTGGATGGAAGCAACCAGATAAGAGTGGAGGTGCTGAAATTACTGGCTATTATGTGAACTATCGCGAGGTAATTGATGGGGTACCAGGAAGATGGAGAGAAGCAAACATCAAAGCTGTCAGTGAAGAGGCATATAAGGTAAGCTTGTGACCTTCTGTAGTGTAGAGTGTTATATGTATGATGACATTCTCACATACACAGATATGCACATGCATGCATATATGCCCGGCACCTTGTAAATGATTCATATTATTTCTCCAGTGTCTGTTGCCTGCAATGACATGACTTCTGTAAAAAAAAATATATGAAGATAAATAGAAGTAGTTTGGCTGACCAGGCAGGATGTATATTTTCTGATTCATACACATAAACATAATTTCTTAGAATGTTCATGAAATGTGTACTTATTGTAAAAACTTACGTTTCTTGCAAAAAATATCTGTACTAAATATGCTTCAAGAGTCCCAGAATCCAAATGACTCTAGATTTTTAACTTTCAATGTCCAAATCACAAAGAATAAAGGGACATGGGCCTCATGGCCAGACTCAGTTTGCTATCTGTGAAGTGTCCCCTGTTATAGTGCCTCTGATGGCCACAAAGAGGGGCACTTTGCATGGGTCCATCCACAAGTTTCCCTTCTGCACATGGGCCTTCAATTCTTGATCCACCTTATAGCACCTGAGGGGTTTCACAGTTGCCACAACTGTTGACTTCCCTCTTTAGAGGCTCATCAGTAAGACCCAAGTCACCAACCCCAACACTCACAGAACCCCATGCCATGGGGAGAGCAGGGCGAGGCCTGGGAAATGGTGCTTTCCCCAACTGAATGCCACTTGTTTAACTTAATATTTAAAACTTATGAAATATCACACACATGCTGAGAATACATAAAACAAAATTGTATTTTTAAGATTTTTCCATGTTGGTACATGTAGCAATAACTTCACTACTATATGGTATTCCATTATGAGTCCATCTCATGCTTTTTCATTTATATTTGGGCATTTTTGCATTTTTAGCCATATCAAATAATGTGGCTATAAACATTTTTTGTACAGGCATTCCTTGGTTTATTG